CATCTCCAAAGTACTAAAGAGCAATGATGTCAGTTTAAAACTATGGTGTGCCTGATTCAACCCATGATATTATCAATTGCTTCCACTACATCTACAAGTTGGACAATGAATATGGAAGACCAATGAAGAAACTACATCTTTGAGTTGTAATGTTGAAGAAAAACATGGATTATCCTATGAATTGCCAAAAGAATAAACGAGATTCTTTTAGAAGAAGAAACCAAGGTGCTCCTCAGAGTCAAGGACAGTGAAACTTCATCTCACGTACTTTGGGCATGTTGTGAGAAGTCAGTAGTTGGAAAAAGAGGAAGATTTTGAAAAAGATGGATTAATACAGTGATCCTAACAATTTGAGCACATCAAAGATTATGAAGATGACAGGATAGGACAAAGATCAGATCTTTTGTTCACAGGGTTAGTGAGTTGTAGTTGATTTGATGGCATGTAACAGTAACACCACCATTTGAACTATGTGCTTTGGTACCCTAGTCAGTAGGAAAGTGCGCTGTCAAATCAAAGACAGGTAGTTCAATTCTACTAACTGCTCAGTAGAAGAATGATAGGCAATTCCATATGTTTTACAGTTTCTGGAAACCTACTGGAGGATCAGCTATGAGTTTATTCCAACTTGCTGGCAATGAGAGAGAACATCTGAGCAGAAGCCCAAAATGGATGGCAGAAAAGACTCTGAGTATTGCACAAGCAAGCCGAGGAGCCAAAGCAAAGAGAAGAAATCAAGAAATTAATGAGCTGAATAGAAGATTTAAAAGGGCAGCTCAGGAAAACAAGGCAAAGTATTATAATGAAATGTGCAAGGAGCTGGAGTCAGAAAATAAAAAAGGCCGAACTTGCTTAGCATTTCTTAAGCTGAAGGAACTAAAACAAATTCAAGCCTCGAGCTGCAATGGTTAAGGATGCTATGGGCAGAATATTGAATTATTCAGGAAGCATTAAAAGAAGATGAAAAGTGTATACAGAGTCACTGTACCAAAAAGAATTGGCTGACACAGAAGAATTTCAAGAAACAACATATGATCAAGAGGAAATGGTGATGAAGGAGGAAGTTCAGGCTATTCTAAAGGACTTGGCAAAAAAATAAAGCCCCAGGAATTGATGGAATAACAATAGACATAATTTCAACAGACACTAGGTTGTGACAAGTAATCTGGAGGACAAGTATATGGCCAACTGACCAGAAGAGATCCATATTTATTCCCACTCAAAAAAACAAACAAACGAACAGGTGGCTCGACAGAGTGTGGAAATTATCATACACTAGAAAAATCTTGCTAAAGATTATCCAGAAACTACTGAATAGTCCATTAATAGAGAACTACTAGAAATACTAGCTAGGCTTTTTCCTCTTCCGGAGATGTTATGTAGAGGCATTCAAAATGATCTAGTGTCTGATCTAACATCATAAGCTATCCTATAACACAGCCTCTGACAAAACTAGGTTGTCCAAATTCCTGGTAATAGAATTGCTTACCTTTATATCAAGAAAGTTGGGAAAGCACCAAAATGTGCATGTGGTATGTGCCCAGGCTGACTAAGAGGGGTTCATGCTTGAAACCTAAAGTTCTCATGAGGTTATCAAAAATAAAAAAGCATGGCAGCAAAGCTTATGATAGCCCCATATATGCTAAATGTATCCGTGACAGGATCATGAGTGCTTTCCTTATTGAGGAGCAGAAAATTGTTGTGAAAGTACTGAAGGCACAAGCACAAAGTCAGAAAGTGAAATAAAAAATGGTACATCTTTAACAAAATCATATAATTTGTAAAAAAAAAAGAAATACAAACTGGTTTTAGAAGAGGTTGTGAAACTAGAGACATTATTGCCAATGTCAGATGAATCTTGTCAGAGAGCAAAGAGTACCAGAGGAATGTCTGTGTTTCATTGACTATACAAAGGCATTTGACGATATGGTTCAAAATAAATTGTGGCTGATCTTGAAAAAAAATGGGAATCCCAGAACATTTGATTGTGCTTATGCGAAACCTATACTTGGACCAGGAAGCAGTCCTCAGAACAGAGCAAGGAAACACTTCATGGTTCAAAATCAGAAAGTCAGTGTGTCACAGGAATGCATCGGTCTCCATAGCTTTTCAGTCTATATGCAGAACAGATCATTAGGGAAGCAGGGTTTTATGAGGAGGAATGTGGCATCAGGATTGGAAGAAGACTCATCAACAACCTATGTTATGCAGATGACACAACTTTGCTTGCTGAAACTGAAGAGGACTTGAAGGACTTGCTACAGAAGGTCAAAGACTTTAGTCTTCAAAAGGATTGAAGTTCAACATCAAGAAGACAAAGATTCTCAACACTTGGCCAATTTGGCAGCACCATGATAGATGGAAAAGAGATTGAGGTTGTTAGCAACTTCAGCTTATTCAGCTCCACAACCAACGTTCTTGGCACCAGCAGTCAGGAAATCAAAAGAGAAATTGCATTGGGATAATCTGCTGTCAGGGACCTCTCCAGAGTATTGAAAAGCAGCAATGTCAGTCTAGACACTAAGATGTGCATAATCCAGGCCATGGTGTTTGCAAATGCTTGCTATGCATCAGAGAGCTGGATAATGACTAAGGATGACAGAAGAAGAATCGATGCCTTCGAATTGTGGTGTTGGAGAAGAGTCTCGAACATACCCTGGACCACCAAGAAAACAAATAGGGTCTGTTTTAGAGAGGGTGAAACCAAGTTTCTCCTTGGAGGTTAGGATTTTTGAAGTTACATCTCACATATTTTGGGCATGTGGCCAGGAAAGATTGGTTCCTGGAAAAGGACTTCATGCTCGGAAGGGTGGAGGGACAGCACAGGACAGGAGAGGAAGACCCCGGATGAGATGGATTGATATAGTAACTGGGGCAATGGGGGATGGTGTGTCAGAATTAGTGGCTCTGGACAGGGCAGGCTTCAGAGCTGCTGTACGTAGGGTTTCTATAGGTAACAGGCGACTTGATGGCACATTACACCTAGTAGTAAAGTAGTTAAAGTGCTTGAGTGATAACAAGAAGGCTGTAGGTTCTAATTTATGACCTAGTTTTGCAGAACAGAGATCTGACAGTTTGTTTCTGTTGAAATCTGATAGGGCAATTCTACTCTGCTATAGAGACAACAGGAGTTGGAATTTACTCTATAGCAATGGGTTGTCATTTGATCAGTATATGTGATCCTTCTCTATACCGTTCATATCTATTATGCAATCTTTTTGTCAGACTTTATGATAGCATAAAGCCTGTGGTTAAGTGCTACAAACCCTTAAACTGACTCTACCTATTAAGAGCTTCATCTCTGGAGTTGCTATGGAAACTGTCACCTTCCTCTCCCAGCAACCTATTGTGGCTTTTTCCTTCCACATGGTACTCTTTTCTGATTGTAGAAAAGGAGACCTTCAATTCTCTTATTGTTTTTCCCCCAGATTCAGATGCAAAATGGTGGCAGGTGGAGACCTAGTGGAACATTGTCTCACATAGGTTGAGATACCCCTACACATTTGAAGTTCTGTCTTCTCCATATTACAAAGGATTTTTAAGGCTAAGACCAGATTGGTTGCAGAAAGGAAAGGCTGTTTTCCATGATTCATTCTACATGATATGGACACATCCTATATCTTGCATTATCAGCAGACCTGTCCAATCTTCCTCAGAGACTTCTAAAAGGACATGGGTCAGAATAAGGCTTAAAGATAGCTTTACTGACAGAGCTCTGGAGGTCTCATGGCAAGAAGCTGAGCTGCAGTTACAAAGATGTACAGTTCAAATCCACTAGATGCTATGCTGGAGAAGGAGGGACAATCTCTTCCTATACCAGTCAGATCCTATTCGATGGTATACAAAAAGGGAAAAGAAGAAAAAAATAGCTTTGCTGCATTAAGTACTGTGCTCTTTTCTACCCAGAACCATCTAAAATATGTATGACAAGTTGGGAAGGAGGATGTTGCTGAAGCGCTAGAGCAAAAGATATCCTATCTGACAAATTCATGTTCAAAATTATTCCATATCCTATGTAAAAGAAGTTGCTGTCGTGCAAAGTTGAGGCAGGGAAGGCAACTTTAGCACCATTTTTCCAAGGATGTTCCTTGTAGTCAGTCATATAACAGTGCCAGAAGTTCTCAGTCGACTTTCCTGTCCCCTAGCCCTTTAGTTTGGGAAAGACCATTCTAAGTTCTAGTTCAATCATTGTCTCTCCTGTTTTGGGAAGGTAAAGGAAATCTCCCAAGGTTACTGTTTTCACTGTCACGTTAGTCGGGAATTGGGAAAGGTATTTCGTGGGTTTTACTCAAATCCCCTTCTCCGCAATCACAGAACTCGGCATAGATAGAGAATTGCCAATCACTATCTTCCCAAAAACTAGGGATTTAGGGCTAAAGGTCACTCTGTCCCCACCAAGACTGTGCAGTCTTCCGGAACAGTGTTAAAGCGTTGGAGCCAGGAGAATGGGGAAACCGAGGATGGAGATCAGGATCTTGGCAAGATGTGACTTTTTAATTTAAAAATAAAAGAATTAGACACAGAGATGCAGATAACGAAGCAAATTTGGGTAGCAGACAAGATGGCTCCACTTAGTTTGGGAAAGGCTGCAGAAGTGAACGATACTACTTAACGGAGAAATAGCCCAACTAGAAGCTTCTTGTGGCGCAGCGGCAATCTCCTTGCCACCCCCCCCCCACCATATCTCTGTCCCCTCAGAGCCCCCGTCGCTGCCCACGTTGGAGTGGGAGGTCCCCCGGGAAAACTGGAGCGGAGGCTGAGAAAGACAGTCACCGCACGAGCGCGTACTGGGCGGGACCGCAGAACCCAGGCCCCTGCCCCAGTCCCGCCCCTGCGGCGCCTGGGCTCCGCCCCTGACAAGCAGTAGCCAATGAGCGGCTTCGGCTGCAGGCCTTTAAGAACAGCGCGCACTCTCCCGGCTGCGGATGCCGCCGGCCTAGCACTCCATCGGAGTTTCCATGGAGACCGAAGCTAGGCCCGAACGGCCGAGCGGCGTTACCATGGAGACAACTCCCGGGCTGGGGCTGCAAAGCCCCGGCGCTCTGCTAGCTCAGAACCCCGCGGTGCAGCTGAGCGAGACCGGAGCCGCGGTGGCGGCGGCACGCTGGGACCAGCGGAAACACTCTTTGCTCATCGTAATTGGTGATATTGGTACTGAGACTCAGCTGAGGGCCGTTAGGGCCCACCTTGAACAAGGTGAGCCGCTGTCCTAGCTGTGCTCTGGACATCCTCCATTCCTTGCTTCTCCGCCATCTGCATTCACCTCCCCATGCCTGTCTGCATCTTTCATCCCTAGTGTGCATTTCCTGAGATCTGAGAGCCCGATTGAGCTCAATCATCAGCCCCCATCACTTGCATTCTCCATGCCATGCGTCTGTATACTCCCGAGCTATTCGCACATCCTTCCCTCAGATATTGTCCTGCAGTATCTCTGGGGTGGGAGAACTCTACGCAGCCCCTGGGCCCCTCCCGCCACGCCCCTCTCTTTCGCTGTGTCTGGGGGGCTAGATTTTGGAAAGTCCTCACCATTCTCTGAAGAATTCCCACCTTACAGTGTCTTCTTTTGTGGGTTCTCTGAACAAGCACAAAGCGCTGAGTACCAGGCACAAATCTCTGAGTGTCAGCGGCCAGTCTAAGAGAGTGACCTTCGTGGCCGCTGCCGCCTCAGCCCTGCCTCCTCCCCTGTTGCCGTGCCTGTGGCGCAGTGCTGCGGAGCCACCTGCGGGTGGAAGTAAGCCGAGAAGGCAAGGAGGGGGACATAGAGTCTGGAATCCTACTTACTTACTGAAAGAACCAGGAGGACAGCCCCCAGTAGCTACGACTAGACCCTTTGGTGTCGCTTCTGCCACAACTGGTATACTCTGCAAGAATATGCCTACATATGAACTCATTAGTGACCAAGTTTACTCTAAAATCTGCCTTTTCCCCCTTGGCTCAGGCAAATTCTAGGAAAGGCAGAGGTTGGGAATTGGGCATAATCACTAGCCACCCTTCTTTTGGCCCATAGTTTTTTAGAGACATGTGGGAAGCTGCTCGTGAATGCTCCTTTCGCTCATCCTCTTTTGTGAGCTTGAAAGTGTTCCCAGTGATTTGACCTTCATGATTTTATCCAGAACTCTCTTTGTTTCTCTTTTACAGGAATTCTCTCCTGGAACATTGACTTATCGTCCTTTGACCTGAACCAACAGTTGAGACTCTTCATTACCCGGCACCTAGCTCACTTCTCCTCAGAGGTCAAAGGTTAGGACTAGTACCATTTTCTCTGACTTTTGGGTAGAGCAAATCACCGAAGAGAGGAGGTTAGCTCCCTGGTAGAAACGGTCTTATAGTAGGTTTAGGGGAGAGAAAAAGGAGAGACTGCATAGGAGACAGCTGCAGAGCTGCTCAGCTGTTCCAGAATACTCAGTACACTTGCAGACAGATAACATCATAGTATAGGGAGCTTGGAGAACATAATTTCAACCTGAGAAGAGGGTGGTTTGTGCACAGCTACTGATGTGCAGGAAGAGAATAAGGTACTTCTTTGAATAATCTTTCATTTCCTATAAAAAAATCCACCCTCCTCTTTTGTGCTCCCCTTTCTCTATATCCACCAGCCTTCCTGTTAGCCTTTTCAGAGACCCAAATCTCCCCACTCATCTTCTCAGACATTTGTTTAGTGCTTTTCTGTAGGCTGTACATTGTACCCACTATGTTCAGGGTTTCTCCTTTGGTTTGGCCAACAAATTTCCATAGCAGAGCAGTATCCTGGTACCAAAACCTGAGAAGCATCATCAAACCCAGGGTGGTAAGCAAGATCTCCTGGAGTTATTACTATAAGAACTGATTGCACTTTGAGATTTGGCTCTAAAGTAAAAGTTTACAGGGTAGTTTCCCATTCTGCTAGGTGGGAAAAATGGATTAAGAGTTTAAGAACATAAGATGTTAGGAACTATCATTCTATAATGATATGTGGTGTGAAGAGGCTGCAGAAAGAACTATGTTCCATTATAAAAGCATTGGCATCCAGTCATGTGATTGGTAAATGTCAGCACATCAATCCATGCATCAGTGCCTTTTGTGGAATGTAAAATCCATCCAGCTAAACAGTCACTGCCATCAAATGACTGAATCCATATCTTACACAGATAATTCTCAATTAGTCAGTCTTGTAGATACTCACTTCTTTCAGTTGCTTCTCCTAACGTCCTTGGTCATTTCCCTGATCACTAATTTTTCTAAAGATGCTGCCATAGAGAGAAGGAGATAAAAGTAATATGATAAGTATGGTAAATGTCCCCTTATCCTAGGATTATGTGTAATAATTTAAAAATGTAAGGCGCACTTCTTTTCGATGTGACTAGCTTCAATGTTTTGAGATTGCCTTCTGTTCACAATTACTCATGTCATGGTGCCTTCCATTAATACTGAGGGTTGAAAATCAACTGTTTTACCAATTAGCACTTTGGGGTGCTTTATTACAAGAGTAAATTTGGGGATATCAGAGGGTAAAATTAATGACTAAACTGAATTTTGGGGGTTATCTGCTGATATGAATAATTCACACTTAGTTCTCTAGCCTTGTCCTTTTGACCACACAGATTTGTAAGTAGGCTGCTTTTTGGAAAGATCTAAGATATAAACAGAAATTAAACCCACTTAGCCAAACTCCAGATTAAGATGCAAAGATGTTTAGGAAGATGTTTATAGACAGACACATAGTACTCTTAGATCCTTCTCAAAAACAAACATAGACATATAAACATCCTCTGGGCCTTCTCAGTCAAAAGATTTCGCCATGCTATCCCTTAGTGGTTAAGGGCCTTTCCCATAGGTCAGAGCTTACTTTAGTGTTCTGAAATTTTTTCCCCCCAGGTTTTAGACATTTCCATGGATGTTTGTCTATGTCCCTTGAGAATAGTGAAGAATTTCCTTGAAAAACCCACATGGCACAAAACAACTTCTTTCAGCTGTCCCTACAAACAACTGCAGGCATTGCCCCTCCTTTCAGCCGTCTGTTAGTGGGAAAGCAAAGGGAATCAGGTGACTGAGATGGGCTCAGTGGAATATGCTAGTTTGTTATTATTTGATCCTTCCTGCCCACCCCACAGACTGAGTCACCATGCCTGTCACCTGTCCTCAGTCCCTGAGCCAAAACGCTGAGAATCATGAAAAAAAAAAAGAAATCTTGCGAGAGTGAAAAAAATTCCTATTACTCCTTTTCCCCACCCCAACCACCGCAGGAATAAAGAATCTTCTGATGAAGAGTTAGTGCTCCAGCTCCTTCTAATTAATCATCAAGACTGATAAAGGCTTTCAAACTAGTCACCAGTGGCAACTTGGGTCCTTCCTAACTCCTGCAAAAAACCTAGAGTTTCCAAGCATGTAACACAAACCCAGAAACAAGTAGAATAGAAAAATTAGTTTCAACAACCCTGTTCTTTGTATTGAAAGCCTATAGGAAAGGAGGAGGATTTTGGTTCATAACTGATATACTAGGACTCAAAAATGCAGACCTAAGGACCAGTTTAGAAACCTTCTAACACTCCAATCCCCTGAGGTATTCAGAAAGTGATACTTTTTACAAACATAAAAGCCGTTCTGACTTAATAGAGCAGCACATTGGTCCCTCAAACTGAGGTTCACATTACTGTCTGAAATGGAAAAGCAGGGACATGAGTGCTTCAAGTCTCATCCTGTGGGCTTCTTCAGTTCTGGGTTCATTTGGGAGTTAAGAGTATTCTGAAGCTGGTCTAGGCTGAGATTCAGACTTAAGATTCTGATTTAAGATTGCCCCAGTCACCTAGATCTGCCTAGTACTGTTCAGAAATCTTTCACAAAAGAAAGACCAACTTCCAGTGGCATTTGTGCTTTACAGATTTAGGATTCTAGAAAGGAAACCCCTTCTCTCCCTTCTCTGACATTCAGTCCTCCACAGTACTATTGAAGGATGATGCTAATATCAATTGTACTCATTCTGTAGAGCAGGAAGCAAGGACTCAGAAAGGTTAAGTGGTTTATTTAGCAACATGATCAGTAAAATGCTGGGAGCAGGTCTCTGATGTCACTTTGTCTCTGAGGAGCACAGGCCTCTTTTCTTTAGCATCTTACTATTTCATTGCAGCAAAGTCTAGGAATATAACAGGTGAGGAGATGTTTTAGGTGGCTGTTCAGAGGGTGAAGGATGAAGGGAAACTCCACTGAGTTGGAACCATGCCCAGGGTGTGGCTCTTGGGGTAGCAACTGAGAATAAGAGTAGACCTGCATTGGGCTGAGAAATGTTATTTTGTCCTCATGCCAAATGTCTACTCAAGTTTCCCTCCTAACACACTCTAGAGAGCCTAGAAAGCAGAGAGGAGATAGAAGGCTTAAGATGTGAGGGAATAAGAACTACAAATTTGCAGAAAGGAGGTATTTCCCTTTTAAGATAATCATAACTCAGCCTGGTTTGTGCTGTGTATCTCTGCAGATGGCTTCTTCTATCCAAATGGGGATGTTGCCATCTTGCTACTTTGCATCCCTGGATCTGGATCTGAACAAGGTTTCTTCCTATCCCTCCCCTATATATACACATACAAGGGTACTGGTGACTCAGCTCCTCTGGCTGCAGTTAAAGGAGGCGGGTGGAGGATGCTGAGAGCAGAGACTATTTTGGCTTCACTGACCTTCAGTGGAGCTCTTGGCAGCCCAGGGCAAGGGTGGAGCTGGTACTGGGGTATTAGTGGGATGACTATCAATGTGAGAAAAGCCTTAGAAGACAGGGTAGGGAAGGATGGGTATGAAAGCATGAGCATCACCCAACTGGAACTGAGTCCTAGAGCTCTCCAGATTCATTCACCCTTGGAGTGCTAGAGCAGTTCACTATATCTGAGGCAGAGGTAAGGAAGTAGGGCCAACTTTAGAAGATCAAGAAAGTAACGTACAGAGACAGCAAAAATACTTAGCTATGGAGACAGGGCACTCATCCTACAAAATCCTGATAATTTTTTTAAAAAAACTCAAAAAATGCTTTATGTTATTTTTAATAATTGACTAATAGAAAAACTTTGCCCAGTCTGGGGCCCTGTTGATCAGTGGCCCCTGTTATCCCCTTCACTGAAAGGCAGAAAGCACTGTCATCAACATCTAAGGCTGTCTTTTCACACTGATGCCCTGATAATTCTGAGTGCCAGTGCCTGGGTGGCCATTGTGCTGCTGCATCTGTGCAGGGCTGAATGCAGTTTTCAGGCACGTGTACTCCTCTACCACAAACCAGGGTCCATGTTTCAGATTCAGGATTTAAAACTACCCTCCAGTGATAAATAGGACTTATTTCTATGTGGCTGTAGCTTAGAAGATGACAGAGATCACCCCACCTCCCCAGTCTCAGCCTTCCTCTCAAGCAAGCTCCCTCACCTTACCCCATGCTTTTAGCTCAGCCTCTTTGTTTTCTACTCCTCCAGGAGCTGAAGGTCACTCAGTCCCTGGGTTTATTTGAGAGGAAAGGCAGCAGATGGTCCCTGAGAAAGGGGTGGAACAGGCATCTTATGCTTCTCATATATTCTTCCTTTTTGCCCTAGCAAAGGACTTTGGTCTACTGGCTGATATTTAATGAATATTCCTTAGCTACTAAGTAAGAAGGGTCTGTGCCCTGTGGACTACAAGAGAACATCCCTGGCTCTTGAATCTGTTAGACAACTCAAAACTAGGCAGAAGTCACATCAGAGCACCGACATTGTGAGGGCAAAGAAACAGTTAAATCTCCAGTGACTCGTCAGCGGCCAGCCCCTCTTCCCCGCCCTGGCACCGCCCTCTCCATCAAGCGCCCCCCCCTCCCCACTCCCACCCCAAGTGCTGCAGACTCTTCCCTGAAGCTGCCAGTTGGGGCCAGAGCCACCACCTCCATGAAGGACTCCCTCCCACATCCCAGGGTAAGGACCAAACCGGTGGGTTTATGATGGTGGCTGGCGGATGCTGTGACAGGGTGATGGGGGATAGGGCTAATGGGAAGACACCTAATCCGGTGCTTCTGGAACCGGCCTACCAGGGCCAGCAGGCTAAGGGAATGGAGAGAAAAGATGAGTGTGTTCCTGGCTGTGGAAGCAGCCTGAACCCAGAACCAGGCAAAGGCCAAGAGGGCCATGACAGTCTGTCCACGTCTCCGGCTGGGCTGAGAGTGGGAGACATTGGTCCAGGGCCAGCAGCAGAGGGTGGTGACACTGGCTCCGCCTGGCAGCCCAGAGTGCAGGGAAAATTTGGGGCTCAGTGTTTGGCTGGGACAGAAGAATCTAAGGGATGGGGGCGGGGGCAGTACTGGAATACGGAATGCTCCTTATGGGAGGGTCCCTGGGCGTCAGCTGCTGGATCATTCAGCTGCTCCTATGCTGGGGGTGACAGGGTAGTGAGTTTTTGCCAAGTAAGGGAAGATGGGGACAGCGTGGAAAAGCAGGGAGGAAAGGGTCATTAAGACAGGTCATGCGCTTCCTCGTAGACCAACCAGTGTGCAGTGGGCTGCACAGCACTATTCCCGGAAACCAGAATGAGACAAGGACTCTAAGCGCCCCCTTTCTGGTCCCCTCGAGGCCACTCTAGAGATGGAGAGCACTCCCTCCCCAGCAGCTACCCTGAATTCCCAGTGCTGTCAACCCCACTGGTTTTCGCCTCCACCCCCATCTCCTCTCAGCTTCTCTTCCCAAGATGGGGGCTCTTAAACCCAGAAGTCAGTTTCTTCTCTCTCTCCTGCATCCTCCCGCCCCCAATCCCCATGCAGAGGCAGCCAAGAAAATGACTTGTCATGCTGGGGTGGGGGGTGGGGGCGGAGCCGGAGCCGAGCTCAGCGCGCACACGCACACGCACACACTCACACACTGCGGCAGACTGCAGCTGCCCGAGCCAACCCCCTCTTCTGCCTCACTGCAGAGACACCTGCCCTCTTCCCTGCCCAGCCTCAGCACCCACAATCTACCCCCACCATCCCCTTAACCGAGAGTAGTGACCCTGCTTCACCAGATAGTCCTCTCCAAAGAAAAAGGAAAAAACATGTCAGTTCCCGTGAGTGAGAGAACTGGTGACCAAGAGAGAAGCAGGGCTTTCTTTCTCTCAGGCCAGGAGAGGAGGGGTTAGGGCAGTAAATCATGGAGTTGCTTATCAGCGCTGGAGAGCATTTGGGTTAGAAGTGGGGGTCTTTGTGCCAGGACAGGAACTAGGATCTCAGAGTCTTGTGGTTATAAAGAGGGACTTAGAGATAGGCTTGAGGGAAGGAGAAGATAGAAAGCAAATTGATCTGTATCACTAAGTTTCTCTTTCTGACTCCAGCTCAAAAGAGTGACCTTGTGTGAGTAGGAGTGCTTCTAAATTTGAATCTGAGCTGGCTACTCCCTGACCCTTGATATCCCTCACCTATCCCCCTCTGGCCTATAAGGTGGTTTTCTCCCTCTGAGCTGACTTAAATTTCCAAGACTAGAATAGGAAAAAACCTTTGGATTCTTCTTTGACCCGAACCACCTTGCATGGCATTTGGTCTTCTGATGCCATCCATAGTAGTTCATTTCCCTGCAGCTGCAGCCCTGTGCTGCCAGATCTGCCTAATCCTGGCACCATGGCCCTTCCTCTTAACAAAGGCCCTGGCCTGAGGCTCTGCTTGTTGGGAGCTCAGAAAAAGCCGGAGAGACTTGGGACACAGAAGGGTCTAAGGGAAAGTGTGAATCCTCCCCATTATCTTACAAACTGCCCACCTTCCAAATCCATCCGTTTAATCTGTTATCTGTAAAGTTACTCCTCTGTGCAGTAACTGTGGAGGGAGGAAAGAAATCAGGAGGTGGCAGCTTCCTTCTTCAGTATCTTCTGTATGAACTGCCAACTTTTTTTCTTTACTGTATTGCTTGGTGTTTCATGTGAGTCTTTATTGGTTAGTGTTTCATGTGAGTGTGTAAAAGGGACATAAGGGGCTTGGGGATGTTTTATCTTTCTCCAAGGAGACCTGGTGATGCAGTGGTTAATCATTCAACTGTTAATGAAAAGATTGGCAGTTCAAACTCACCAGTTGTTCCATAGTAGAAAGATGTGGTAGTCTGCGTCTGTAAAGATTTACAGCCTTGGAAATCCTATGGGGCATTTCTACTCTGTCCAGGTTTCTGTGAGTCAGAATTGATTTGATGGCGGTGAAGTTTTTTAGTTTATCTTCTTTCATGACCTGGGAAATGTCTGAATCGCTTAATCTTCTGAAGTGATTGATTGTGAACTGCTCATGCCTCATCTCCATAGTAAAAGGCTATGCTAGGAAAGGAGCAAGGAGGAAGGGAGAAACTGTTGTTCACAAGTTGGGCTGTGGGATAGTGACCCAAGCCTCTCTGGAGCCTGGGAGACATGAAGATGAAGTGAGAGAGGAAGCTTCCAGGTGGGAACAATGTGTATGTATATGAATTCAGGCTTGGCCTTTACAGGGCCAAATAACAGAACAGAAAATTTTATTTACACTTTTTAAATTGTAAAACCTCGAGGGTCTGCAGGTCCCTGAGACCCTGAGAACACAGATCTTTCTGAGCTTTTTAAAATGGGATTTTGGCCTTGAATGGGCAATAAGAGGAGGAAAAGTGAGGCATCTATAGATTATACACTGAAACTTCCATCTCATTTCCAGACATTCTGCTGGCCTAGAAGACGAAGGCTGAGATGAGCTAGTAAGGAGGAAGCTGAGAGAAGATCTTAGTCCTAGGGGCCCTCCCTCCAGCTGAGCCCCTCATCCCCAGGCAGCACCAGGAGCTTAGTGCTCTACAGGGACAAAGGCTTCTTGTCAACAGGGCAGTCTGAGGCGGGAGTTCCAGGCAAGGGGAGGAGGGGTTACACTGGGCAGACAGAGGGTGTGGTAAATCAAGGGAGGGAAAAGACAAGTCTGTGTGGGTAAAAGAAGATGGAAAACTGAAAGGGCCAGAGGAGCCACTTCCTAGACCTTACTCAGTAGTATCCAAGATAGCAACGTTTAAAGACAGCCACCCTTCTTTTTGCCAGGCCTCATTTTCTGTAGTGCATTCTTTCCTCTCCTGTCACACACAATGCCTCTCCATTTTAGTCTATACCTACACTCATCAATACAAATTCCTGCATCTCTCCCTCAGGCCAAAGGACCCTCTGCCACCAGAGTGAGATCCTTGAAACCATCATCCTGGTAAATCCCAGTGCAGACAGCATCACTTCTGAGGTAAGCCTGGGGCCTATGCTTTGCCATCCAAAGGCCTGCTGAAAGGGCTATAACTATGTAAGTGCTGCCACTTAAAGAAGAACTCTTGGGCTGTCTTCTCTCTGCCATTTAAGCTACCTTTTAATCCCCGGTCCTATTCCAGAAGCATCATAAAGGACATATCTGCAGTAGGGAGGGGATCCAGAAATGTTCACTGCCTTTCTCTGGGTTTTCCCGACATCTGTGGTCGTCCCCCTCCTTTCATTTTAGGTTCATCATCTCCTTAGCAGCCCATCTGCTCACAAACTACTGATCTTAAGTGGCCAAAGTTTGGAGCCTGGTGGAGACCTCATCCTACAGAGTGGCACCTACTCCTACCAAAACTTTGCCCAAGTCCTTCACAACGCAGAGGTAAGTTTCATGCCAGTATGTAGGACTAGAGGCGAGGGAAAGAATCCAAGTGAGGGGGAATCTCATATTGCTTGGCTACTGGGGTCCTTATAGAAAGTTAAGCATTCACCTCAGAAAGAAGCAAAGATTGACAAACTGAATCTAAGAGGGACTAAGATAACCCCAATGACCTGATCAGGCTTCTATCTTCCATTCCTCTAGATTGCCCAATTGCTCAGCAATAGAGACCCTGGGACCCAGGCCTTCCTCACCGTATCCTGCTTAGGGGAGGGTGACTGGAGCCATCTAGGACTATACAGTTCTCAAGAGACTCTGCAGCTCCGGCTAAACCCTGAGCCCACGCTGCCCACCATGGATGGTGTGGCCGAGTTCTCCGAGTATGTCTCTGAAACTGTAGATGTGCCATCACCCTTTGACCTGCTAGAGCCCCCCACCTCAGGGGGTTTCCTCAAGCTTTCCAAGCCTTGCTGCTACATATTTCCTGGTGGCCGTGGGGACTCTGCCCTTTTCGCTGTCAATGGTTTCAACATCTTGGTGGATGGTGGCTCTGATCGTAAGTCCTGTTTCTGGAAGCTGGTACGACACCTGGACCGCATTGACTCAGTGCTGCTCACGCACATTGGGGCTGACAACCTGCCAGGCATCAATGGACTCCTGCAGCGCAAAGTGGCAGAGCTAGAGGAAGAGCAGTCCCAGGGCTCTAGCAGCTATAGTGACTGGGTAAAGAACCTTATCTCTCCTGAGCTTGGAGTTGTCTTCTTCAATGTGCCTGATAAACTGCGATTGCCTGATGCCTCCCGGAAAGCCAAGCGCAGCATTGAAGAGGCTTGTCTCACTCTGCAGCACCTAAATCGCTTGGGCATTCAGGCCGAGCCTCTGTACCGTGTGGTCAGCAACACCATTGAGCCACTGACGCTCTTCCACAAAATGGGTGTGGGCCGGCTGGACATGTACGTCCTCAACCCTGTCAAGGACAGCAAGGAGATGCAATTCCTCATGCAGAAGTGGGCAGGCAACAGTAAAGCCAAGACAGGCATTGTGCTGGCCAATGGGAAGGAGGCTGAGATCTCAGTGCCCTACCTGACCTCCATCACTGCTCTGGTGGTTTGGCTACCAGCCAACCCCACTGAAAAAATTGTGCGTGTGCTTTTTCCAGGGAATGCTCCACAAAACAAGATCTTAGAGGGCCTAGAAAAGCTTCGGCACCTGGACTTCCTTCGCTATCCAGTGGCCACACAGAAGGACCTGACTTCTGGGGCTGTGCCTGCCAGCCTCAAACCCAGCAAAATTAAACAACGAGCTGACAGCAAGGAGAGCCTCAAAGCCACTACTAAGACAGCTGTGAGCAAGCTGGCAAAACGGGAAGAGGTAGCTGAAGAAGGAGCCAAGGAGGCCCGCTCAGAGCTAGCTAAAGAGTTAGCCAAGACAGAGAAGAAGGTGAAAGAGACATCAGAGAAGCCCCTAGAAAAGCCAGCTAAGCCTGAGAAGGTGAAGACAGAGTCGAGTGAGGTGTTGAAGGCAGAGAAGCGAAAGTTGATCAAGGACAAAGTGGGGAAGAAGCACCTGAAAGAAAAGATATCAAAGCTGGAAGAAAAAAAAGACAAGGAGAAAAAAGAGATCAAGAAGGAGAGGAAAGAGCTCAAGAAGGATGAAGGAAGAAAAGAGGAGAAGAAGGATGCTAAGAAGGAGGAGAAGAGGAAAGATACCAAACCTGAGGTCAAGAAGATCTCCAAACCAGATCTGAAGCCCTTCACCCCTGAGGTACGTAAGACCTTGTACAAAGCCAAGGCCCCTGGAAGAGTCAAGATTGACAAGAACCGAGCTGCCCGTGGGGAGAAGGAGCTATCTGCTGAATCACGGACACCCACAGTTCAGAAGGGGTCTGTCCCACTCCATCCAGTCACTGGGCAAAGGGAGCTAGTCATGTCTTCACCAGAGGACCTCACACAGGACTTTGAGGAGATGAAGCATGAGGAAAGGGGGTTGCTGACTGAACAAAGGGACACAGTACTAGAAGAGAAAACACTCTCTCCAGATACTACAGACGAGGGACCTTCAAGAACAGCTACCCAAGTAACACCTCCTATCTCAAGCCTGGGACAAGAAGAGCCTATGATGAAGGAGAAGGAGGTTATTCCAAGCATCCCTGGAGAACAAGGCAGCAAGGAGAGAGGTCCAGACTCTGGAGTTGAACCAGAGGAAGAGAAAGACACCTGTGAGGAAAAGAAGCAGAGAGAAGCAGATAGGCTCCCAGATAGAACAGAAGCAAGAGAAGAAAGTGAACCTGAGGTAAAAGAGGATGTGATAGAGAAGGCTGAATTAGAAGAAATGGAGGAAGTGCACCCTTCAGATGAAGAGGAAGAAGAAGAGACAAAGGCTGAAAATTTCTACCAAAAGCATATGCAGGAAGCCTTGAAGGTAACTCCAAAAGGCAGAGAGGCTCTTGGTGGCCGGGAACTGGGACTCCTCCAGAGTAAATTTTCTGAGAAAGAGACCTCATCATTCCTAAGCAGTCTAGCTACACCTGCAGGAGCCACTGAGCATGTCTCCTATATCCAAGATGAGACAATTCCTGGCTACTCAGAGACTGAGCAGACCATTTCAGATGAGGAGATACACGATGAACCAGAAGAGCGGCCAGCTCCACCCAGGTTTCCTACAAGTACGTATGATCTCCCGGGGCCTGAAGGTCCTGGTCCCTTTGAGACCAGCCAACCCGTGGACAGTGCTGTTTCTGCCACCTCCAGCAAGGGCTATGGAGCACCAGAGACTGAAGTCACCTACCCTCCCAACATGGTGGCTGCCCCTTTGGCTGAAGAGGAGCATGTGTCCTCAGCCACTTCAATCACTGAGTGTGACAAGCTTTCTTCCTTTGCTACATCAGTGGCTGAAGACCAGTCTGTGGCTTCACTCACAGCTCCCCAAACAGAAGAGACAGGCAAGAGTTCCCTACTGCTCGACACAGTCACAAGCATCCCCTCCTCCCGTACAGAAGCCACTCAGGGCTTGGACTATGTGCCATCAGCTGGTACCATCTCACCCACCTCCTCACTGGAGGAAGACAAGGGCTTCAAATCACCACCCTGTGAGGACTTTTCTGTGACTGGGGAGGCCGAGAGGCGAGGCGATAGCACAGGAAGAAGCTTGCCTGGAGAGAAAGTTGTCAAAGAGGAGGAGATTAGAAAGGTACAGTTGTCTGAGAAACTCCATAGTCAGTATGGAACCCCAGTATTTGGTGCCCCTGGACATGTTCTACATCCTGGGGAACCAGCCCTTGGAGATGTGGAAGAACGCTGCCTCAGCCCAGATGACAGCACCGTTAAAATGGCCTCTCCTCCACCATCTGGTCCACCCAGTGCCACTCACACACCCTTTCATCAGTCCCCAGTAGAAGAAAACTCTGAGCCCCAAGACTTTAAGGAAGCAAGCTCCTGGGAAGACAGTAGGCGCACACCAGAGATGGGCAAGGAAGATGCTATAAAGGAGTCAGCTGGACCCAGGCCTGAAGAGAGCACACTTGAGAAGGAGGGACAAGTGTCTCCTAGGAGCCCCCAAACTCAAGATGCATCTGTCAGCATTGTTGAGGGTCACACAGCTTATACCATACAACTGTTGCCAGAACAGGACAAAGCAATAGTTTTTGAGACTGTGGAGACACAAGAGCCCACAGAGCCAATTCTGGGGGCAGAAGCCCTTTCTAGAGACAGCAAAACAGCACTCCAAGAACCTGGAGAATTTCAGAAAGATGAGGTGCTCCAATTTTCTGATCGAGCCCTCTCCCCTGAAGATGCAGAATCCCTCTCTGTCCTCAGTGTGGTCTCCCCAGATAGTGTCAATCAAGAGCCCACTCCTAGGTCTCCTTGTGGCCTGACAGAGCAGCGCCTACAGAAAGACCTTTGGCCAGAGATGTCTCCAGAAGGCACCCAGTCACTTTCTCTCTCTGAAGAGAGCCCTAGCAAAGAGACATCTCTGGATATCTCTTCTAAGCAGCTCTCTCCAGAAAGCCTTGGCACTCTCCAGTTTGGGGAATTAAGCCTTGGAAAGGAAGAAAAGGGGCCTCTAACACTGGCTGAGGATACCTCTCACCACCCAACCCCTGTGTTTGTTCCACAGTCCTATCCACCCACAGTGCCACTTCCCACAGATACCATCACTGAATATTTTGCACAGGCAGATGTCACAGATGAGAGCCCTGATAGGAAACAACCTGCAAGCTCCTTCTCTCATTCTACACTGTCAAGAGATGGAGTGACCATCTCACCTGACATGGCCACAAGTCCTGGTGAACACATTCTGAAATCTGATAGCTCTCTCACCAAGAGTCCCAAGTCTTTGCCAAGCCCTGCCATGGAGGACATTGCTATGGAATGGGAACGTAAAGTTCCAGAGTCAAAAGACCAAAAACCTCCAGAGCAGCACAAGGTACCTGAACCAAAGGATGAAGTCCTACAGCAACAAGACAAAACTAAGAAAGATATTCTCGTAGAGAAAGATACAGCCAGAAATCAGAAAGGTGAGGCTCTGGAAGAAAAGAGCAATGCTGTAGAACAGCAGGACAAGACATTAGACCAAAAAGACAGAGATTTACCAGCAACAGAGTTTTGGGATCAGAAGTACAAAGCCCTGAAGCCAAAAGACACAGACATAGAGCAAAAAGACACAGTCCTAGAACAAAAAGACAAGGCTCTAGAACCAAAAGATATAGACTTAAAACAAAAAGACAAGACCCTGGAGCAGAAAGACAAGACTTTAGAACAAGGAGCCATAGATTTAGAGCAACAAGACAAGATCCTGACACAGGACAAGACCTTAGAACAAAGAGACACAGAACAAAAAGATAAGATCCTGAAACAGGAGGACAAGACCTTAGAACAAAAAGTCATAGACACAGAACAAAAAGACAAGACTCTGGAACAGGACAAGACCTTGAAACAAAAAGACATAGACTTAGAACGAAAAGACAAGACCAAGGAACAAGAAGATACAGACTTAGAACAAAAAGATAAGGCCCTGGGAAAGAAGGATAAGACCTTGGAACAAAAAGACATAGAACAAAAAGATAAGGCCCTAGGACAGAAGGATAAGACTTTGGAACAAAAAGATATAGACTTAGAACAGAAGGACCAGATCCTGGAAGAAAAAAGCAAAGTCTTAGAGCAAAAACTCCAAGACTCTGAACATAAAGATAAAGCTCTAGAAGACAAGGTTTCTGAACTAAAGGATGAGGCCCAGAAACAGAAGGACCATGCCTTAGAAGGAAAATACTGGGCCTTAGAACAGAAGGATAAAATCCTAGAACAAAGCAGTGAAGCTGCTGAACAGACAGGTAAAGCTCTGGAAGAAAAGGACAAAACTCAGAGACAAGTGAGCCTAGTTCAGGAAGATAAAACCATTAAACCTAAGGAAACAATACAGGAGGAAAAATCCCCAGAAAAGGGCCAAGCTGTGCAAGAGAAAAAAGCTCTACAGAAGGGACTGGAAGAGGCCCCAGTGCAGAAAGATAAGGCCCAAGAGCAAGAAGAGAAGTGCTGGAGGAAGGAACAGGATGTAGTCCTGGAGTGGCAAAAAACAACTCCCGGCAGGGAGGAGCCAGGGCCAGGTGGCAAACAGAAAGAGGCCACCCAGGCGTGGGAGGATCCATCTCTTGAGCAGGAGGACAGGTACTGGAGGGACAGAGAGGAAGTATCCTTGGAACAGGAAACATATTGGAGGGAAATGACCTGTGAGAGGAAGGTCTGGTTCCCTCATGAGCTGGATGGCCAGGGGCCCCGTCCTTGGTACCCTGAGGAGCGGGAGAGCACTTTTCTTGATGAGGGGCCTGATGATGAGCAAGAAGTACCCTCCATGGAACACACTCCCCGGAGTCCCTGGCCCTCAGACTTCAAGGCTTTCCAGGAGCCCTCATCACAGAAGGGACTGGAGGTGGAGCGCTGGCTTGCTGAGTCACCAGTTGGGCTGCCACCAGAGGAAGACGAAAAGCTGACCCACTCCCCCTTTGAAATCATCTCCCCTCCAGCTTCTCCACCTGAGATGGCTGGACATAGGGTTCCCCTGGCCCCAGGACAAGAGAGCACAGTGCCAGAGTCTAAGCCCATGCCACCTCTGAGGAAAGAACCTACCACCCCCTCATGGCTGGCTGACATCCCACCATGGGTACCCAAGGACACATCCCTACCCCCTGCACCTCTCTCCCCAGCTCCAGCACCCCCTAGTCCTGCTCCAGAGCCACTCACTCCTGCACCCTTCTCCTGGGGCACAGCCGAATATGACAGTGTGGTGGCTGCAGTGCAAGAGGGGGCAGCGGAGTTGGAAGGTGGGCCATATTCCCCCTTGGGGAAGGACTACCGCAAAGCTGAAGGGAAAACAGAAGAAGGTGAGGCTTCTGACAGCACCCAGTGCAGCTCAAAGATCCCAGAGGGTGACAAAAGCCATGCTACCAAGGAGCCAGAGCCAATTGAGCTGGAACAGAGAGAGCCCACACCCTATCCTGATGAGAGGAGCTTTCAGTATGCAGACATCTATGAGCAGATGATGCTAACTGGGCTTGGCCCAGCATGTCCCACTAGGGAGCCTCCGCTTGGAGCAGTTGGGGATTGGCCCCCACACATCTCAACCAAGGAGGAGGCTGCTGGCCGAAACACATCTGCAGAGAAGGAGCTTTCGTCTCCTGTCTCACCTAAGGGGCTCCAATCTGACACTCCAGCCTTCAGCTATGCAGCCCTGGCAGGACCCCCTGTGCCGCCGAGGCAGGAGCCTGAACCAGGTCCGAGAGTGGAGCCCAGCCCCACGCCACCTGCAGTGCCCCCTCGTGCTCCTGTTCCTCTGAACAAAGGCCCAAGTGCCCCTCTTAATGATAACACCCTGAGCTGCAGTCCCGATAGGAGGACCCTGTCCCCCAAAGAAACAGGCCAGGGTCACTGGCATGATAGCACTAGTGACTCAGAGCTTGAGAAGGGGGCTCGGGAACAGCCAGAGAAACAGGCCCAGACCCCAAGTCCTCCGCACCCCATCCCTGCAGAGTCCTCCACATTGTGGTCTGCAACTGAAGCACACAATAGTCCTCCCTCAGACTCACCCCCAGGTCCTGCCCGGCCTAGCCTGGACTTCCCTGCCTCGGCCTTTGGCTTCTCCTCATTACAGCCAGCTCCCCCACAGCTGCCCTCTCCAGCTGAACCCCGCTCAGCACCTTGTGGCTCCCTTGTCTTCTCTGGGGATCGAGCTTTGGCTCTGGCTCCAGGGCCTCCCACCAGAGTCCGGCATGATGAGTACCTAGAAGTGACCAAGGCTCCCAGCCTGGACTCCTCATTGCCCCAGCTGCCATCACCCAGCTCTCCTGGAGCCCCTCTCCTCTCCAGTCTGCCACGACCCGCCTCACCAGTCCTATCTGAAGGCTCCTCCTCGGAAGCCACAACACCTGTGATTTCGAGTGTGGCTGAGCGCTTCCCTCCAGGTCTGCAGGCTTCAGAACAAGGGTCTGAAGAGCTAGTTCCAGGAATGGAAACAGCTGCTCACAGCCTCTGGAACCTCACTCCTCTGAGCCCAGCCCTTCCAGCTTCACTGGACTTGGCTTCAGCTCCAGCACCAGCTCCAGCTCCAAGCCTACCTGGAGATGATGGCACTCTGCCCTGTCACCTTGAGTGCTCAGGAGCTGCCACCAAGAAGCCAAGCCCCTTCCAGAGTCCCTCTGGGGACTGTGCAGCCAATGGCCCAACCGAAACCAGCTCTAACCTCCCAGGGCCTGGCCTGGCCAAGGCTGAGAAGGAAGAAGCTAAAGCCTGCCCTGCCTGGGAACGTGGGACCTGGCCTGAGGGAGCTGAGAGGGGAGCCCGGCCTGACACACTGCTTTCCCCTGAGCAGCCACTGCGTCCTGGACGGGTCCCTGAAGGCCAACCCAGCAATGTCTCCCCTGAGACTGAGGCTGGGCCCCAGGGGTGTCCTGCGGAGCCTCGGCCCCACCGTGGGGAACTCTCCCCATCTTTCCTGAACCCATCCCTGCCCCAATCCATGGATGATAGTGACCTCTCGATTGAGGAAGCTCGGTTGGTAGCAAGAGGAGGGAGACGCAGAGCTGGAGGCCCGGGGGCAACAGGAGGCCCCTGCCCTGTGACTGATGAGACGCCTCCAACATCAGCTAGTGATTCAGGCTCTTCACAGTCAGATTCTGATGTCCCACCAGAAACTGAGGAGTGCCCATCCATCACAGCTGAGGCAGCTCTTGACTCAGATGAAGATGGGGACTTCTTGCCTGTGGACAAGGCTGGGGGAGTCAGTGGAACTCACCATCCCCGACCTGGCCACGACCCACCTCCTTTACCCCAGCCAGATCCCCGGCCATCCCCTCCCCGCCCTGATGTATGCATGGCTGACCCTGAGGGGCTCAGCTCAGAGTCTGGGAGAGTAGAAAGGCTACGAGAAAAAGAAAAGGCTCAAGGGAGATTAGGGCGCAGAGCCCCAGGCAGAGCCAAGCCAGCATCCCCTGCACGGCGTCTAGATCTTCGAGGGAAACGCTCACCTACCCCTGGGAAGGGGCCTGCAGATCGAGCACCCCGGACCCCACTCCGACCCCGGAGCACTCCAAGCCAGGTCACTTCAGGAGATGAAAAGGATGGACACAGTCCCATGTCCAAAGGCCTAGTCAATGGACTCAAGGGAGGACCAAGTAAGTATACCATGGAAAAGGGAGAGAGTGGGTTGGATTGGATTGGGCGTGACAGGTCAAAAGTGGGAGAGATGGGAAATGTTGCTGAAAATGTTCTTCCTTCTCTCTACAATGAGTGCTGGCTTGTCTCTACAGCAAACTTGGGTTCCAAGGGTGGCTCTGGTGCTCCTGTGTATGTGGATCTTGCCTATATCCCGAATCACTGCAGTGGCAAGACTGCTGACCTTGACTTCTTCCGGCGAGTTCGTGCATCCTACTATGTGGTCAGTGGGAATGACCCTGCCAATGGCGAACCAAGCCGGGCTGTACTGGATGCACTGCTGGAGGGCAAGGCCCAATGGGGAGAGAATCTTCAGGTAAGTAGTAAGGGACTTCAAGAACATAGTCTGGTCAAAGCTCAGAGGCAATATTGGAGCACGGTTCCTTATTCTAAAAGGACTACAACGTAGGCAGCGGGGGCTGGGAAAACCTTCAAGTGCCCTATCCTCTTCACTTACCTTCCCTTCACATTCTCACATCAGGTTTATCTGATCTCCCTTCTAGGTGACTCTGATCCCTACTCATGACACAGAAGTGACTCGTGAGTGGTACCAGCAAACTCATGAACAGCAACAGCAACTGAATGTCCTGGTCCTGGCTAGCAGCAGCACCGTGGTCATGCAGGATGAGTCCTTCCCAGCCTGCAAGATTGAGTTCTGAAAGAACCACACTCCCCACCCTGCAGATCCTCCCTTCCCGCAGCTCCCTTAGAGAATGGCTAATGCTGTGTCTTTTGGGGTTGAGGCAGATGGGAGCTGGGGGATGGAGGGTGGGCGGATGCTTTGTTACAGGGACTTGGGCTGGGCTGAATGGTAGGAGTTGTCTCTCCTCCTCACTCATGCTTGAGGGGTCTCAAAACCAAAGGTGACAGGAATAGAATAAGAGGAGGGCACAAAGTAAGAGTATACATAGTCATCTGATGCCTGAGAACCCTGGAGTGATATTGGTCCTAGCATTGCCAAATGCTAAATTTGAGTGGGAAGTGAGGATGAGTTTCAGAAAGCAACCTCCTCCCTCATGAAGGGAGATCATGTCCTTAACCCCAGGGACATTTTTGTCTCAATCTATTTATTTAGCATTCTAGGAGGGATTTCTGGTAGTAATTTATATGACCTGGGTGTAGGATATTGTCACTGAGGTGCCCAGAGCTGCATGCCTTCCTCCATCTCCCATCACCTTACCCACTAGGGTCTCAGTTCCAGCAGGGGGCTGGGAGTACACTGCTGCTACACTGTCCCACTGCTTCCCTCCATATCTGAATGTCTCAATCCAAAACTTGAAGCTCTTTGACCAAGAAACTGGTAGGAGGAGACTATCCTCTCTCCTATCCCCTGTATCACACCATTCACATCCCCAGGAGTGTGCCCAGACCAGGCCTAAAGGGCAGCACAAACGGGCAAAGAGAGCCTGGCCCTAATCCTAAAATGATTCCAAACTTCCTGACTTTTTAAGTTGTCACCCACCCCATTCAATGATCCTGACCCTTCTCTCATGCCCTGCTTGGCTTCTCTGCATGTGGTCATCTGCTGTGGCCTGGCGTGTAAATGGGTTAAAAATAAGCCACTGCCTGACATCCCAACATTTGATATCTAGCAATGTGTGACTCCCCAACATTCCACTATGCCATCTTGCAGCTGAAATGGGAATATTGGCTTCCTCTCCAGCTCCAACCACTTTAGAGGTTCTGAGAGGTGGAGGCCATGGCAGAGGACTTGGGAGAAATGAGACAGAGGAAAGAAAAAGGAAGATGAAGTTGAGCTAAAGTGTAATGCCTATAGAAAGAAATGAAAATGCACCCCATAGAAGACCTCACCTCAAGCAAGCCAATGAGCAGCCCTGCCAGACTTACTGCTGGACTGAAACCTAGGCGCTGACAGTCATCTGGGCAAGGCTTCTCTGCCAAGTTATGTGGAAACCAAAATGAGCCTGCCTTGTTTTCTTCCCAGCTCCCACCCTCCCCATGCTGCTGTGCTCTGCTCTCCCCCACACTTCCCTCCAACTCTAACAATAAATCAAGTTCATTGCAGATGTTGGAGTACTGCTTAGGCTTTTTGTGACTCCATACTTTGCTTAGTTGCTCAGCTGGGCTTAGCATCTACCTCTCTGCTGCTCCCAGTATCACCATTTTCTAAGGGAACTTTGATAACTGGAAGCAGTTCTAGGATCTGATGGTGCCAGAGGATATATTCTGGGTATGTGAAAACAAAAAGTTATGAAAAGTCAACATGATTTCTAAAAATAAGTGGGAATACTAAAGTATGAATAGGAGTCTAGGGTGGGGCACAAATTCAGTTTTTAGGGATGGAAGAGGCCTCCTGGAAAGAGGATTTATATTCCAAAGAGCTAAGGAATAAAACAGACATCAGATACCCTGGATCTCAACCCTGGACAGAGAAACACAAAACAGGCAAGGAGTTATGAAGCTGTAAGAGATCACTAGCAATGCTATAGTTAAGTGCTTGGCTGCTAACCAATAGGTAGGTGGTTTGAATCCCATCTACTCTGTTGTAGATCATGAGGTAATCTGTTTCTGTAAAGATTACAGATAGCCTTGGAAACCTTATAGGGCAATTCTATTCTGTCCTGAGTTAGAATTGATGGAACAGGGTTTGGGTTGTGGGTAGTAGTAATATTTTATTTGTTTGTTTTTTTAAGAAATCCAGAGCCTGTTAAGATTGGAAACATCTCTCACTTGTGCAAACTTTGTATGGAGTGAAAATTTGGATTCTTCCCTTCCAATAAAACCCTTTATAATTCTGGGTATGTTAGGAGTGGAAAGGTTGTGAATATATATAAATGGGGAGGGAGATTTCCAGCCCTCCCCCTGTAAAAATGTTGAGGAGAAAGAAGGGTATAATCCCTTTACAGTAACTCTTTTTGGCAATCCCAATCATCAGAGTTAAAAATAAAGAGGGTAATTCCAAGGATTTGGTGAGAAACCATGTACCATCTGGTATTTTAGAGATAGAATCTCCACCCCTCCATCCCCACTAACATTAAAGACAGTTTTGGATAGGGACCTCCTAGGACACTTAATTTTCATAGCTCATTCCTGGTAAACTACATTGGCTTTTGATTGGTTAAGGTTAATTTAATTGTAAACACACATGATAAACTTACAGTCATATTCATTCCTAAGTTCACAATGCTATCACTAGTATTACCATTATTTTGTATTTATTGAGCACTCATAATGTTCCAGCCTTTCACTCCAATGACCAAATTACCTCTCCTACCTGCCTCCTTTCCATCCCCATATCTTTGGATAAAGCTTCATAATCATGTCTGGCCCTGAAAACATACATAAGGACAAATATCTTGGGGACCCTAGAGTGTTTGGTCTTTGGACAGTCTGTCTCTGGCACTACTATGGAAATATATAGATATATTTTTTAACTCTTTGCTCATGTCTGTACAATATTGATCTCTGCTGATTGCTTAAAATAGAACTTGGTTTTCTATTACAGCATTTTCTAGATCAAACAACTCTGTAATAAAGGAAGACCTAGATTTACATAACCTCCTAGAGAATTTTAAGTAGATACTCTGAAATTTTTGTATAGTAATCTAATACCTATTTTCCCCTAGAGCTCTTACCCAGAGGAACAGGACTAAGGTAGAAGGGGCACTTAAAGATGACACAGAAACACCCAAAAACCCAGCCTAGATATTAGTGGGCATGAAGGATGTTTGGGAAGGGGACTATCCTTTTCCCCAGACATTTTAAGTAACCATCAAGGGCTCAGCTGAGGAGCAAAGACAAGAGTCCCCTTAAATGCACAAATGGTCTAAGGGTACCTTAAGAAATTATGAACATTTTCCTAGAAAAAAGAGTCACGTCTTCAGTAGTTATGTGGCATATCCTTTAACAATCTAGGATTTCCTGGGATGCTCACAGCAGCTTTGATAATGATCAACCAGCGCAGCCCCAGGAGATTCCATTTAAATCTGATGGCAAGGCAGGGGGCCAATGACTGTTTTGAACATAAAACTGACTCTTCCCCAAACCTAGTTCTGGCACAGGTACCCTTCATGCCAAGAAGAGGGATTGCTTCCTCAGATACCTCTGGTGAGATCCAAGGCCTTGAGTTGCCCAACAGAATAACCTGCTGGCTGGAATGGCTGGTATGGTGTGACACCACTAATGAAATAGTGATTAATCACATGTTGCTGGTGGAAAAGGAGTGCTGGTCATGGGCTAGAGACTGGCTCTGAGAGTGTAGATCACTGGATGGATACTGACTTTGGGGAACATCCTCTCCAGGAAGCTGGTCAATTACCTCAGAGACTACCGAAAATTGCTGATTTATCTCCTCAGGGCCTTCTTGGTCCTGAAGATCAGCCTCCTCAAGGAACTCTTGAGATGGTTTATCAACCTCAGGAATGTCCTGAGACAAGAGATCGCCTTCAGGGGAGTTGTTGGGCAGCCTGTCAACCCCAACAGAGAAGTCCTGGCATGGCTGGATGACCTCCTCAGGAACCTCTTGGGCTGGCCTGTGAATCTCCACAAGAATTTCCTGGACCAAACCACCATCATGTACAGAGAACCCAGGCAACAGCCTACCAACCTCCACAGGTCCCCCTTGGCATGGCTGGCTAATCTCTTTAGAGTTCCCTTGGTAAAGCTCATAGACTTCCTCAGAGACATTGCTGGTCTTCTGGCATGGTAGGCTGATCTCAGGGACTTCTTGGCATGTTTGAGTAACATTGTTATGATTCTCCCGGCATGGCTGGCTGACATTCTGAGACTCTTCCAAACACAGCTGGCTAATATCAGGGACCTCCTGTAATAGCTGTCTGACCTCCTCAGTGACACCCCAGTGTGATTGATTGATCTCAGAGGTCTCTACATATTGCTGGCTGACCTCCTGGGAGACATCCCGGCATGGCTGACAAGTCTCCACAGGCAGGTCCTGTGGGGTCTGATTTGGTTCAAAAGTTTCTTTCTCCCCTTCTATATGCTCTTGTGCTTCGTTCCCAGGAGTCTCCTGGGGCTGCCCAAGACCTTCATGTTCTTCAGTCACATGTGAACTCAGGGAAGATTGATCACTGAAGCCAAAATGGGTATTACCGTCCACTGCAGTGGGAGAAGAAGGTCCAGCACTGGACACAGTGCTGGAAGGGCCACTGCTGTCTGTAAAGCAAAGCCAGGATACTGAGTCAGATCAGCTAAAAGTGTAGGCTCTAACCTATACATGTAGATCAAATGCTAGACTAGGTGGCCTTTGCCACTAAAGTCTTAATGAAAGAGGGAATTTCTCCTAAGTTAGGCAGAAACTCCTATTATACTAGAAGAGTAATACTTCATCCTATTATACTAGAGGGATAGTACTAAGGCACTTCAAGAGAGAATGCTGAGACCCACCTCATCCTGTTCTTTCACAAATGTATCCCTATTTCAACTTCAAATTCCCCTGGCTGCTCATTGCTATTTTGAAAGGATATAAACTTGTGCCCAAACAGCTCATAATTAAGGTTACACATTATTATTTACCTGGATTTTTTTTTTGTCAAGTACAAATTTCTAGATTCTATTTCCAAAAGTTCTAACTAAATGTTTAGGGTAAAGATGAGGGTGAATGGGTGGGTAGGCAGCACAATTATAATTTTGCTTAAAATAAATTGATTCTGATATGTCTTTTCTTAAGAATCACTTCCTTGCACTACCAATGCTTTATAAGGCACTCTCTTTTCTTATCGCAGTAAACTCAGCTGTTTTAACAAAAAAAATACAATAATTTATTTGTGAAATCAAAGGGCTGCTCTGCATTAGTTCCATTAGTCTCATGAGGTCCTGTATTTCTGGGGCAGGGGTAATCACTATTTATGGTCCAAGAGATATATAGAAAAATGTAGAAAACTCTTAGTGTCAATTTGTTGGTGTGGACTACCAAGTCAGAACCAACCCATAGCTAAATCTCCAGCAAGTTTTCAGAGGCAGTTAATAGCAAGGGAAGAGACTGCCTATCTTTTTCTCCCGTGAAGCAGCTGATGGATTCAAGCAAGGTGCCTTCAGGATTGCAGTACAGCTTCTTACCACTAGGCCACCAGAAAACCACAAGGGTCAGAGGAATAGTAAATAAACTGATTTACCCAAACCTAGAAGACTTTCATGAAATCTTAAAATGATAGTAGGTTTTTAATTAACTTTTCTGGGGGTCGGAAACTGCTAAACTCCAATGAAAACTACAGACTATCTTCCCAGGAAAATGTGCATATGGATATTGATGCTAATTTTTACATATCATTCTTGGGGTCATAGACTACCCCCCAAAACCATCCATGGGCTCAAAGTTAAGATTTTCTAAGTCTTTTGATAGATATAGAAATATATAGAAAGACATATAAAATAGGGTTGTGTATATTATGTACATGCAAAATGTAAAGCTAATTTTCTAGATTCTAACAGTAGTGTAATAAGATCTTACAGAGTCTTAAACTACATTGTGACATAATTCCTACTCTGACCTCCACTTCTTCATTTACATTCAATAGAAGAGTGATATATTTTTCTCTTTCTAAATATATTTATTGATAATATTGTAACTATATGCTTACTGCACTCTGGTATCAATAATCGATAGTTTCTGAAAGCCTTATGAATATCAGTATCCTCTAATCAAATAAAGGATCTATGCCTATTGAAAGGCCTGTGGTTCCAAATTCACCAGTTGATCCAAATAAGGAAGTGGGCAGTCTCCTCCCATAAAGATTTATAGCCTCAGAAACTCAGTGGAGGGTCACAATGAGTTGTAATAGACTTTCTAGCAGTGGGTATGTCAGAGGCCAACTGAGAAAGTTGGCAAGACTGAGTCTGGAATGTCTGGATATGTCATTGTCTTTAAGGTATGCCAGCCAGGTCTCTCTCCTCTGAAAAGGATCAGAGGAAGGATGTTCCAGGCAGGAAAAAGATGAGCATAGTTTTGGGCTAATAAGGCTCCAAAAGAAATAAAGTCTATTTCTGGTGCAGGCAGACCTTAAAGAGGATGTTTACAAATGAGGCTACATGCCACATGCCTGATAGTATGTCAAATACTAGATTTGGCTAAAAAAAAGAAAGAAAAGAGGAGAGGAGAAGAGAAGAGAAGAGAAAAGGAAAGAAAAGAAAGGCTGTAAGTTAAGCTTCATTCAAGGATAGAAGCAGCTGGTGATTTGATTCAGGCAAATAAAAAAGATCAGGTGAAACAGAAAAGAAAGAATAAAGTTTCCAGGGGAATAGAACCCAGAAGCACTAAAAAAAAAAGAGGTAAAGGAGGCAATGGCAAGGTGATTATACATATAATCATCTGAAATTCAGAATAATTCCTGGTGTCAAGGAGGAAAGTTTATCCCTCTTGAAGGGTGACAGAAGAAAAGCAACATTTAAGAATTCTTTTCCCTAATGTTAAGCCATGAAAATTTACTTTAGCCCTATGTAAATAAAATAATGGAAGCATGTGTTTAATTTCACTTATTCCCTTGAAGCAGGATGAATAAGGAAAGAATTATCCATCACCATTGTCTCTGATTTGATTACCACTAGAATCTCTGCCTCTCTACAATCACACTAAGAATTTCTGTGGGTCTAGTGTGCATAAGTATTAAGAATAATCAGTGCTTGGCTAGAGATAATAAAGGAGAGACTGGAAAGAGTACTTGTATTCATTATTATAAGCACTTGAATTAACAACTGAGAAAATTAGAGAGAAGGGACATACAGAGATTAAAAGTAGGTTCTACGTTTTTGCTAGGTTACCTCCTACCTAATTAGTCATTGTTTCTCAAAAAAGCTATAGCTGACCAAATGGGGATATGATAAAAATGATGTTTCCATCCTTTTGTCCCCAGAGGATCTTTTGGGCCATGATATTTTTACAAAACTCTCAAATGAAGCAAGAGAGGGCAGCAAAAGAGACTGCTTCTCTGACTAGATAATCATGGTTTTTCAACCCTCTCTTCTTGCCTCACACTCATCAGTCACTCCATTCCCCCTTGCCCTTTGTCTACCCAGTTCCAAAAGGAGTACTTACACCAAGGGGGCTTCTCAGAGCGCTGCCGGAGTTGTAGAGGAGGTGAATGAAGTGTGCGAGGTGGGGAAAATGGGTTATTTGAGGTCTGGATGCTGTGCATAGAATCAAAGAGGGCTGAATAGATAGAAGAGAGAAGGAAGGGGGAAAAGTATATAAGGGAGTGTCTAAAAGCCAAAGACTCTCAACATAAGTCAAAGCCAACTTCTACCTCTGGCTGAGAAGAAACATTTCCTAAGGTTCCTTTACTCAGCCCTTTGCATTAAAAAAAATTGTATTAATAATATTTTCAAAAATGTTTGGAAAGTAGCTGAAAGATGTTTGCAACAAATTCCCATATGCTCATTTAGATATAATATGTTAACATTTTGCCCTATCTGTTCATTCTTAAATTCTTTAAAAGGACATTAGATAATATCTCACCTATAAATACTTCAGTATGCATCTCTAAAATAAAAAGAAAATTTTCCTACACAGCCACATATTATTAACATACCTAACAAATGAATAAGTCCCTTAGAATTTCTAATACACAGTCTATATTCAAATTCTCCCAATTATTCCCCAAATGTCTTACAGCAAAATTCAAACAAATGATTGAACGGAAAACCAATGTACTTTGTAAACTTTCATTCAAATCATAATTTAAAAAAATCAAAATTATAAAAAATAAACAAGGGGAATGAGAGCTCAAGTGTGAGAGGAGGTGGGTGGGGAAGGATCTCTGGCAAGACACTCTAAGGTGAGGCTTGTGAGGCCCCCCTCCCCACCCCCGGGCCCCGCCCTGGGCCCCAGCACCCACCCTGTCAGCCCAGCCCAGCCATGATCAAGGCAATCCTCATTTTCAACAACCTGGGGAAGCAGAGGCTCTCTCTCCAAGTTCTACCAGCCTAACAGTGAAGATACACAACAACAAATCATCAGGGAGACATTCCATTTGGTACAGAAGAGAGATGAAAATGTTTGTAATTTCCTAGAAGGAGAATTAATAGGAGGATCTGACGACAAATTTATTTATAGACATTACATAACATTATATTTTGTCTTCTGTGTGGATTCTTCAGAAAGTGAACTTGGCATTTTAGATCTAATTCAAGTATTTTTTTTTTTCAAAAGAGATGGATTCTAATTCAAGGGGTGGGGAAGACATTTTCCCAGTTAATGGTTCCACTCCCGCTGTGGCGCTGCGCTAAACCATCCTGCGAGCTCTAATTCAAGTATTTGTGGAAACATTAGACAAGTGTTTTGAAAACGTCTGTGAACTGGATTTAATTTTCCATGTAGACAAGGTTCACAATATTCTTGCAGAAATGGTGATGGGGGAATGGTTTTAGAGATCATTACACAAATTGATGCACAAAATAAACTGGAGAAATCTGAGGCTGGCTTAGCAGGAGCTCCAGCCTGTGCGGTATCACCTGTAAAGAACATGAATCTTCCAGAGATCCCAAGAAATATTAACATTGGTGACATGAGGATAAAAGTGCCAAACCTGCCCTCTTTTAAATAAAAAATTTAAAAGGCAACTCTCAGGTAAAATCCAGGTGGAAAAAGTTATCCAAGTTTACCTTGTAGTTGTTCACCCAAGGCTTAACTTTTGTTCTTGGATTTAAGTCAAGGCACTGTATAGAAATTGTGTAAAATCAGTATGTGAAGTTCAATGTCGCTTTTGTTGATCAGTGATTTTAAAGAAATTGAATCGTTTCTGTGTGATTTTTTTTTCTTTTTTTTTCTAAACTACATTCTTATGTCCACCTAAGGCATGCCTCTTATATTGGCTACTACCATATTTTGAAAGTATTTGAGATATTTAATGATGTACAACTCCAAATGTTGGTGTTTTGTATGGATCACAAGTACAACATTTCTTAATTATTTCTGTTGTCATAGTTTTTATTTAAAAAACCAAGTATGTATTGCATGAAAACATTCTGATCTTTTTCTCTTAGTTTAAATAAACTCCAAGGTAACTGGACTTTGAAGCACCTTTCTGTTTGCCTGGTATCTACTTTAGCAATAATTTTTTTTTATGAATGTGTAGATCATAACAAACTATGGTTGACTCTGAGAAGAATGGGAATCCCAGAACACTTGATTGTTCTAATGCGAAACTTATACTTGGACCAGGAGGCAGTCGTCAGAACAGAGCAAGGGAACATGGTTCAAAATTGGGAAGGGTGTACGCCAGGGATGCATCCTATCTCCATAACTTTTCAACCTATATGCAGAACAGATTATCCGGGAGGCTGGGCTCTATGAGGAGAAATGTGGGGTCAAGATTGGTGGACAATTTATCAACAATCTGCGTTATGCGGATGACACAACTCTGCTTGCTGAAACTGAAGAGGACCTGAAGCGCCTGCTGCAGAGCGTCAAGGACTGCAGCCTACAATATGGATTGAGGCTCAATGTCAAGAAGACAAAGATTCTCACCACTGGACCAATTGGCAGCATCAGGATGGATGGTGAAGAGATTGAGATTGTACACAGCTTTAGTTTGCTTGGCTCCATAGTCAACAGTCTTGGCACCAGCAGCCAGGAAATTAAAAGGCGCATTGCCATGGGAAAGTCTGCTGTTAGGGACCTTTCCAAAGTATTGAAGAGCAATGGTGTCTCTCTGGAGACTAAGGTGCATCTGATACAGGCCATGGTCTTCGCAATCACTTGTTATGCATTAGAGAGTTGGACAATGACCAGGGAGGATAGAAGGAGAATTGATGCCTTTGAGCTGTGGTGCTGGAGAAGAGTATTGAGAATACTATGGACTGCTAGGAAAACAAACAGATTTGTCCTGGAAAGGGTTAAACCGGGTGGCTCCTTGGAGGCAAGGATTCTGAGGCTCCGTCTTACTTTGGACATGTTGTGAGGAGAGACCCATCCTTAGAGAGGGACATCATGCTTGGAAGGGTGGAGGGACAGCGCAGGAGAGGAAGGCCCTCTATGAGGTGGATTGATTCAGTGACTGGGATAATTGGGATGGGAGGTCAGAGACAGTGCAATTGGCATAGGACAGAGCGGAGTTTAGGGCTGTTGTACATAGGGTCTCTATGAGTCGCAGGCGACTCGACGGCACATAACAACAACAACATTTCTGACTCAACAAGGTAAGTAAAAGTATATCACTGTTAAAAAAAACCATGGGATATATCTTGCATTTCGTCAGAGTAAAGAGTTGATGAAAGTCTTCTATCATAACAGATGAGTTTCACTGCATTTTATTTTGCTTCCAGATTGCTTTAAGATTTATTATAGGCTCATGGATTTTTATAGACTTGGTGTACTTCAAACAAATACACCAATCATTTTTTTTCAATGCTCAGATTGTCCCAATTCTGGTTAGGGAAGCCCATTCAAACTTGATTGCTTCTTTCCTTCCTTCTTGATACATGATACCCCAGGTCAACATGTGCTTTCTCTAGATTACCTGTTCTCAAGGTAACTGGTCCTTAGTAGAAGTAAAAAAAAAAAACACCTTACATATTATGACTCTGTAAAAGGGAGCTCTGGTGGCCTACTGGCAAGAAGGTGCCCTGAAGGCACAAGGTTCCAAGCTGCCAGCTGCTTTGTGGAAGAAGGATGGACAATTTCCTCCCATGCGATCAACTGCCTCTGAAAACCTGCTGGAGGTTCAGCTATGAGTCAGTTCCAATGTGATGGCAAAAAAAAGAAATAAAAATTTGCTTTAACTATAATCTTTGGCCCCAAGTTGGTGAGCTGTTAATTTACTTTATAGGGTTTTCAAGGAATATCCCCTGCATAGCTACTTTTTGTTCTGAGTGGTGGAAATGTAAAGTGGCACAAAAGTCTTATGTTAGTCCTTCAAATAGCTCCTAGAAAGGTTATTAAAGACCAGCACAAATATTTGAGAATTAGTGCTTATATGGTTGGTCTCCCTAAATCTGAACTAGAGTTCAACCCTAAGAAGGAAAGCTGTCATTTGTAACACTACTGTCTGGCTGGAGTGCAGTGTGAGACCAAAGTGGGTGAAAATACTGTAAAACTTTCCTACCATTTTAAAGTTGCTTTTTCTTGACTCAACATTTGTTTGGTTGCTAGAAACTTCTATTTTCCAGAATTCCAATAAAGTTGGTTCTGACAATTTTTGCTGACTTTTCAGGGTGGAGGAACTAAACCTTAGAGCTACCTACTCCACAATTTTCACTAATGTCACTACATGGTTCAAGAGCAAGGATGTCCATTTACAGATTAAGGTGTGCCTGATCTCACTCTTGTTATTTTCAACTGATTCAAACACATGTGTAAGTTGAAATGAATAAGGAAGATCAAAGAACTAATGCCTTTGAATTATGATGTTTGTGAAGAGTATTGAATATACCACTAACTGCCAAAAGAATAAATAAATCTGTCTTGGAACAAGTGCAGCCCTCAGAGTATTCTTTAGAGGCAAGAAGATTGATGAAACAATATACATTAGGCATGTTGTAAGGAAGGGACAGTCTGTGGAAAAGTGCATCATGCTTGGAAAGCTGAAGGGTCAGAGAAGAAGGCTCTCAGTGAGACGGAAAGACCAAGTGGCTGCAGCAAAAGGCTTCAGCATAGAGGAGATTGAGGATGCTGCAGGATTGGGCAAGGTTTAGAGCTACTGTGCAAGGGGTTGCTATGACTCGATGTCACCTAATAATCATTTTCACATTTAGATTTCAGATTCATATGGAGTTTATCATGGTATCCAAAGTGATACATGGGTTCAATTTTAATTTTTACCAAATGGATATTCAGTTTCCGAACTCTATTTATTTAAAAATCTATTTACTTTCAAATACTGGCTTTCTTTTAGGAGTCCTGGGTGGTGTAAAGAGTTAAACAAATTACTATCTAAAAGATTGGTGATTTGTACTCACTCAATTGTTGTTGGTAGGTGCCATTAAGCAGAGTATGACTCCTAGTAACCTTATGAACAATACATCTAAATCCTGCCTATCCTGTGCCAGCCTCATACTTTCTGACACTAGGGACCATTGCAGCAGTCATTGTGTCAATCCATCTAATTAAACGTCTCCCTCTTTTTCACTGACCCTCTGCCTTTATAAGTATGATGTTGCTCCCAAAAGGACAGCCTCTCCTAACAACATGCCCAAAAAATGCGAGATGAAGGT